ACATTTACGTAATTGATTGTGAGTTAGTGTGATTTCACTACCATGAAATTTAAAATGAAATAATGTAGAAACTTTAGAAGATGATTGTATAAGTGAAAAAAGATGTGTACTTTTGTTCAGTTCATGTTAACGAATTCAAAGATCAAATCCTGCAATTCTATTGGCAGTTAGACTTGCATCCATCTGACATCTCATGATTTTCCATCACATAGATAAATAGTGAATTGGATGCAATTGATTGATGCATTTTAAGCCCTTGAAACATCTAAAAAGGCAGTTTTCTGAAGAATAAAATAAGAATATATTTGCCAAAGAATTTGTTTGAAAGATACTCTTACAAACTATTCTGAGTCTTAGTTCACACTGTGCATGTCTAGACCATGTGAACATGTTGATGGCTGTATATTCTTATGGCTGTCACTATTGTATCATGATTGAACAATATTTTCCATTACTTCTTCTGTATTCCACATATCTATTTCCTCTTTCATCATAAATGCTCAAAACTTAGAGAACTATTTACCAGTGTCCTGCAGACCTGACTTACTTTTTACTCATGAGTAAAACCATTTCAAAAGAAAACTCATTTTGGGGAGAATGATTCCTGTTGGTCTCATCTCAATGAACAAAACAGTTTTCAAGATCATGGGCTTTTAAGTTTTGTTTTCATTTGTTCACTTAGTCTTGTGTCCATTCACTATTGACTTCATTTAGGTTTGTTGTTGTTGTTGTTGTTCATCTACTCTTCGAAGAAACTGGGATAGATGGTCAGAAATAATCTCCCCCTTTCCTGTTGAAATGGATGGGAAAGCCCTGTTAACATGGCAACAGCCAATTATCTGATAAGGTTTATAAAGCAAAGCTTCCATTTAGTTTGTATGATAGACAAACATATCTGACACCACCTATAAACTAATAGTCATATTTACAAATCAGTTAAGTTAAACACTGAGTAATAACATGCATTCTTGGAGCTGAGTTTAAATTTCTATGTACAGTTTTTGAACTAGCCCTCTCCCAGCTCACTTTCATATGAGGATTGTATTTCCCAGTTCAAACAACTGAAAGTCCTCACTACTTTCATTACTAGCTCTCTTACCTTCAGCTGCTGTTTCCTGCACAGTTTCTTCCTATAGAAATGACACACTAAGTGGATGGTTCTCAAAGCTCTTTATATCACTCCCTTTTTGTGAAGACACAGCTTCTGGCTCTCTGTGTCTACCTTAATGACTCTTTTGCATTGCTGCCATGAGTATACTGGTTTTTCACTGCAGGCTTTGTGCTCTGGGCTGCCTGAGCTGAGGAGTCGCTTTCACTTAAAGATTGTACTATAAACAATGAGCTAGTAACCTAGATCATTGACTGCTGATTTCCTTTTTTATACCTTCTGAGTAATCAAATCATTTTACTTCTTTTGAATGTATTAATTACTATTTTGAAAAGGAGAGAAATACAGACTATCACAGTAATGCCACCCCTAATTTAGAAGAAAACTTTTGTAAAAAGTATTTCACTTTTTCCTTTTAATAAGAATTGGTGACATCCTAAGGCCCTGAGGAATAATCTAATAGAATATTTATTTTGAGGATTTCAAGACTCTGCCACACAGTTATTGTTTAACCCTTGTTGATTATAGTGTACTTATATAACTTGCTATGTAACTCTAGGTAGTGTCCTGTAATATAAAATCAAGATATTCCAGGCACTAAACAATCCCAGCTGTAAGTCGCTGCTATAAACAAGATAAATGGAGGGCAGACAGCAGTGTGATGCCTGTTTTGTGCTTTGTGTTCTTCCTCAGGAAGATAGCTCATCCAGCAACATTCCTAACCTTCCAATTACTTAAATAAACAATGTAGGAACTCCAAGTCTATTATAAATTTAGTAACCAAATTCAGTGTTCTTTTCCTGTCCTTCCCAGTTTCTTCCTCAGTTTTTTAATTTTTTTCCCTTACAGGTAAATTAAAATTTAAAATATCCTCCCAAAAGTGATATGAAAGTTAAAATTATCTTTAGAGTTCACACAAATTTATCAACAAAGCAAATTTATTCATGCAATAAATTCAATAAATATTAGTTTATTGACCCATGCTTTGCCAAGAATTGTTTGGGACCCAGCAGATATAAGATGAACATTATTTTAAAGATTTCAATAATTTCTTTGTATTGACAGCATCCTATAGGAAGTCAGGCAGATAACACAAAAGCACACAGGATAATAAAACCCCTAGTAAGGTGCTATTTGATGTAAGTATAGAGGAATAGAAACTGACTCAGTGTTGAAGGGAAATTCACTAGAGTCATGATATTTGAAATTATAGAATTGTGTGAGAAAGAGGTGTGGGTATCGGGTACGGTGCAAAAGCCAAAGATGAAATGAACTTTGGTGTTAAAAGAAGAGAAAGAAGACAAGGTGGTCAGAAGAGGTGATGTTCAGTGAGCCTGGCAGAGCTGGATACTATATGGCTCAGACTATGTAAGAGTTTGGATCTCATTCAAAATAGGAGAGAAGAAAAGTAATAAAATTGGTTTAGGTTTCAAATTATTTCCTAGAGGAAGTGGCGACGTGTCACTTCCGGCCACCCTCTAGCTGCCATCTTGCGTCCCTGCATGTGTGCGCCTTATTTCAGCTGCTCAGCCCGAGACACCTGAGGTGAACCCTAGTTCCCCGCATGGCCCCGTTTCCACTCAGACAAGATGAAAGAAACGATCATGAACCAGGAGAAAATGGCCAAGCTGCAGGCACAAGTGCACATTGGTGGGAAAGGAACTGCTCGCAGAAAGAAGAAAGTGGTTCACAGAACAGCCACAGCAGAAAATACAAAACTGCAGTTCTCCTTAAAGAAGTTAGGGGTGAACAATATCTCTGGTATTGAAGAGGTGAACATGTTTACAAACCAAGGAACAGTGATCCATGTTAACAACTCGAAAGTTCAGGCGTCTCTGGAAGCAAACACTTTCACTATTACAGGCCACTCTGAGACAAAGCAGCTGACAGAAATGCTTCCCAGCATCCTAAACCAGCTTGGGGCAGACAGTCTGACTAGTTTAAGGAGACTGGCTGAAGCTTTGCCCAAACAATCTGTGGATGGAAAAGCACCACTTGCTGCTGGAGAGGATGATGGAGATGATCTCCCAGATCTGGTGGAGAATTTTGATGAGGCTTCCAAGAACAAGGCAAACTGAATTGAGGCAACTTCTGAAGAAGGTGACACAGAAGTCACAGGAGCTGCTATTTTATATCATGACTGCTTTTTAAAAATTCTTTTGTTTATGGATCTGATAAAATCTAGATCTCTTAATATTTTTAAGCCCAAGCCCCCTGGACACTGCAGCTCTTTTCAGTTTTTGCTTAAACACAATTCACTCTTTGCAGCAAATTAAGCTGAAGAAACCTGGGAATAACATTTGGAAAGGAGTTAATAAAATTCTTTACCTAGTTAAAAAATATTTTCTAAATACTGTAGGAAAATGGTGGTTGAAATTTCAAAGGAAATAAATATACAAAGAGCTGTGACGGGGATTTATTTTATATTTATGTTTCTCTTATTGGTTGATGAATAAAACACTCATTGGCCAGGAGAGGCAGGAAGATAGTTAGGGCTAGGAGATGTGGAGAATTCTGAGGAGAGAGGTAGAGAGACAGGAAAGGAGAGATGCCATGCTGCCTAGGGACTTACATGCTAGATTATGGGTAAGCCACAGCCTTGTGGCAATACACAGATTAGTAGAAATGGGTTGATAATTAAGACAGAGTTAGCCAATAAGAAGCCCAAGTCATCGTCCAATAGTTTAATAATTAATATTAAACTATTGTGTGTGCTTATTTGGGGCTGAAGGCAGGGCTGTAACCTCCATCTTCAGTGCTACTGGGAATTCACTGTGGCAATTTAATACATGATGGTGTAATTTCATGCTAAAGTAGTAATGTGAATGAAGAAAATTATGGGCAGATTCTAAACACATTATGGGCATTCTTGACTGACTTTATATATGTGTTGGGGAGGGAGCAGCAGAAAGCAGTGATGGACAGAAAGACACTAGGTGCTCCAGGGCTTAGGAAGACAGTGATGCTCAATTCTTGAGGCTGGAATAACTTTGTAAGACCTGCTTTAGAGTTAAATAAGCATTGGATATTAGCTTGTTTGGTGAAGAAGCCTGTGATATGGACCTAAAGATGGACATCAACATCTGCGTTGTCATAGGGAGAGAAAATGAGAATTAAGATGACAAGTAATGATAATGTAAATTTATAAAACAGGTGATTTCTGAATCATTGATATGCATATAACTTGTAAAGAAATTGTGTTTGCTGTTTGCTAAAGTGGCTGAGTCATCTTCATTCCTAATATTAATTATATAATTCTAAATTTTCTATAGCCTTCCTGATTATTGGCATGCTAATTCATACTAGGTTTAGCAATTGTGGTAAGGGACATGGGACTGTGCTTCAGTCATGTTTTCCTAATGAGCCTGAGTGTGATCATCTCTGTGTATTCTGACTTGCATTTGTTTACCTTTTAGGAAATTGTGGTGGTATACTTTGTCTACTGGACACAATCTAATGTCACCTGAGAAGAATATCAATGACATTATACTGGCTTGGGACATTTCTTTGAGGGGATGTCCTGTGGACATCTCTGTGGGGGATGTCTTGTGGGGAATGTTTATGGTGGGATGTCCATGGGCATGTCTGTGGTGGAAATTCCTGTGGGCATGTTTCTGGTGGAAATTCCTATGAGCTTGTCTGTGGGGAATGTCCTGTGGACATGTCTGTGGGAGGCCTGTCTGTGGGGGAATGTTCTGTGGGGATGTCTGTGACAGGATTTTATAATTACACTAATGCATGTGGGAAGACACACCATGTGTGGACAGCAGAGTTTCATAGACAAAAGTCTCTGAGTGATATGAGTGGAGAAACCCAGCTGAGGATGAGTAAGCAATCAACTGAGCATACATATGTTCACTTCTCTCTTCTCTTGATGTGAATACAAGTGTGGTCAGCACTTTACCTACTTCAGCCTTGTCTTCCAAGATGTAACACCCTCAAATTGTGAGCTGAAATAAATCTTTTTCTAACATAAGTACATTCTTTGTTTTTTTTCCACTGTATTTTATCACAGCGACTAAAAAATCATGACAAATATATTTTAAATATTTAGCTATTTATAATGTTTGTTTATTTTCTTACTACTATTTTCGGAGACTTCTTAAAATCCTGGTTACAAATTAACAGTTAAATACTTAGCAATATTTTTCTTTCAGTTTGTCATCTTTCATTCCCTTTTATATCTTCAAAATAAAGGGGGAAATTTTACAGCAGGATTATTTGTGTTGGACAACACTGGAAACAAACCAAATGTTCACCAATAGGTATAGTTTTCTTAAGTGGTGTATCCATAAAATTGAATACTACACAGCACTGATTAGGAATATAAAACCATGGAGGAATTCTACAATAGTTTTGCTGGCTCAAAGGAAGAAGTAATAACAATTTGTAGTGTCAGAATTCATATTAATAAGGCAAGAACAGTTGCGAGATGAGGGTAGTTGGTTGTGATGAATAGTCACAACATTTTTATTTTAATGAAAGCTTCCCAGTTGTATGAATTTTCCAGATATTAACAAATTATACATTTAAAATGTGTTTGATATGTAATCTGAGTAATGTCCTAACAAAAAGCAAACTATGTATTTTATTTTAGTAGATACTGACATTGACTGCATGAAACAATGTGAAGCTCCCAGGATAATGTATGCATGTATTTTTCTTACTTCTATAAACATAATCATGTGGGTGGTTGATTTTTTATTAAGATTTTATTTATTTATTATGTATACAGTCTTCTGCCTGCATGCCAGCAGTGGGCACCAGATCTCATTCAAGGTGGTTTTGAGCCACCATGTGGTTGCCGGGAATTGAACTCAGGACCTCTGGAAGAACAGTCAGTACTCTTAAACACTGAGCCATCTCTCTGGCCCCCGGGTGGTTGATTTTTTAAGGGCAATCTTGACCTTTATTCAATACTCTATAGTGTTGTGAGGGCATTACCCATTACCCTACATACACTATTGTATGGAGTAGTGAGAGTCCTCTAAAATGCAGCTCTCTGCACTGACCTCTTTACTTGTCACCTTAATATTTTAATTGCAAGAAAACTGAAACTGAATGTTGCTACTGTACCAAACCAGTATATGTAAAGCCATGCTGATTGTGATACTTGACCATTTTTGCTTTCAAAAAAACCACAAAACAAAAATCTCCAAAGATTTGATGTAGCTTCATCTAATATTATTAATGAGCTGAAATATTCTGCTCCCCAAATTTGTGATATTCCATCAAACCATACTATTATTTCTAATGTTTATCCTAAGTGAATATTATACACTCCACTAATGAAGTCTTCCCAGGGACCCTGAAGTTTTTACACAGAATATAAAAGCTATTGGGAAAACATTTTAGGGGGAATTTGAGAAGCTAGAGTCAAATGATGATTTAAAGTATTTGTAAAGCTTTCTCAAATGTCAGAAATCAATATTAGAATTGGAATTCTTTACTGTCTTGTAAAGTCCTGTTTTAAGGAACTATTTACAACACCCCAACATATGAAATAGATGTATATGCATTTATGGAAAGAATGTAAAAGAATTCACTGTGCCATTAGCCTTAAAACAAAGCTTCAGCAATACAAAACAAAACAATTGCATACATATTTCTTTCCCTGGAGGTGACCTCTCCTTAGCAAGTGAAACCCACATAATTTCTCTACAGCTTCTGATAATAGGAATTATCTTTTCTTCATATTAGCTATATTGTTTATTTTATTTTATTCAGTACAAGCTGCAAATTTAGCATCTTCAGCATGTATCTACCAACCACAATAAAATACTCCCTGGCATTCAAGTCTGACTCTTTTGTATGGAGGAACCCTACTGAGTTTCGAATACCCATTAAAAATGTCCCTCTAAATGACTATAATGACAGAGGAGTTGAGTAGTCAGTGAAATTTTCTATTATTTTATTTTGTGTGTATTTTCATTAATAATTTATTGATATAAAGGATAAAAATGTTTTACCTACACAAATTTGTGTCTGTAATTTGTACTGAGCACAGACATATTGAGGATGCCACTCGGCAGTACTGATTGAATATTTATTTAAACAAATATCAGTATAACCCAACTAGCTGGAAAATCCGTGAGTTTGGCTTTGATGGCAGAGCATTTCTTAACAATTTATGTGTGCATGCAAATGTTTAGTGCTTTGGATATAGGCTAAAGTATTTGCTTTATATGTATTATTTTGTTTGAATACAAGAAAGCTGCTTTGATTTGTATGTTTCCCCCTTATAGAATTGTTCCAAGGCTCTGTCAGAGATCACGTAGAGTAATTTTTCCCATCAATCTTTGCTGTGCAGCCATGCACGAATGCAGTAGGAAAAAGGGGGCAGAAATCAAATCACTTAATTGCAGCATTTTTCATCTACATCTTTTGTTTTATGGTGGTAAAGGCCCCGGAGTAGCCTACCATGATTCATGGCTGTCACTGCTGCCGTTAGCAGTTCAATCCTTCATTCTAGGCATTTTGGTACTGAAAGTACCTACACAATTACTTTGATGAATATGACTTGTTTGTTTTTTCCCCATTTTTAGCAGAGAGTGGTTGTGCTTAATACAGACATTTAAATAAGATAGTATTCCATGCTCACTGCATCTGTACTGTATTTCAAAAGTTGTGTGTTGAGCTTAACTCACAGTACCATTGTCTCCCAGGTATTTAAGTTTGCTGAGCTCATGGGCTTTTGCCTCCTTTTTTATGTTGGTATAATGTGAAGGCCTTAAAATAACCCCCACTCTATATAAAAGGAATAACTCACCTTTAAAGATCTACGGGGCTATGACAGATTCCTACCAAACCTCATTTTTTAAAAGTCATTTCATGAGTGTGACATTACAAAGCCAGCAAACTAGTATGCCTCTGCATTTATGCCTAGTTGATCATAAAATAATAACAATTTTGGAAATATATGCATGCATCTAAGAAAGTGACTTACAGTATTTGCATATTTGGAGAAAATGTCCGTGATGTCAGCAGGGGCTCTGAGAGTAGCTAAATGAGCTAGCTTTTCAGAAATTGCTGTTTTATCAGCTATGCACTGTCAGCACAAAATGCAACCTCTTTAAGA